GACGCGGCCTCAGCATGGCCGGAGAAGCAGCGCGTCGGTGCGAGCCCGGGATCCGAACCCGGGTCGCCAGCAGTGGAGCACGCACACTTAACCACTAAGCCACGGGGCCGGCCTCCACCTTTTCTTTTAAGGTTGTGTGGTGTCTGCGTGCTGTACCTGCTCATCGGGGGATGACGGTGGTGGTGACTGTTCCTCATGTTCACTTGTCATGAAGGTGCAGGACAAAGAGTAATGGTTGTTCCCTTGTTGCAGCGTCACCGTGTCTCGTAGTGGACCCGAGGTCATCCTTTTGCAGACAGCCTGCACAATTCCTGAAACTTCCCCTGTGCTTTCTCCTGCTCTGGACTGTGACTGCACCTGGATTCTTCCACCTCCACACATTGTTGTGCCTTTTAACCCCTGGTGTCTGCACTGGGGGAGGTTTTAAGGCACTGCTTTAAATTTTTTCTTCTTTGGGTTTTTTTTAGTTACACCACCAGTGTTTGCTACTTAGGCTCTTTGATGCAGTGCTCCAGCAGGTGCTTTTCCTCCTGCCGTGGGTGGTACTTCTGAGGTGCACCATCCACAGCTGAGCGGTTTCCCTGCAAGGACCCTTACTGTCCCGTGTGTGAGGGCCAGTGTTGCTGTGTCCTGGACGCCAGCAGGGAAGCAGGGCACTGCTGTGTCCCCGAGTGCTCGGAGGGCAGTGCAGCAGGGGCTCCCCCGCCATTCAGGGTGTGGCAGGTTCTCTCAACAGGCTGAACGTGGAAATAAAAGCAAACCTGGATGAAAAAGCTGTCTTTCTCCTCTTTAAACGTAGATAGCGGCCTTGAATTTTGGTGCCTCTCCCCCTCCCTGCCGGCAGTAACGGCTGCTGCTGGGCTGGTTACGTCCATCTGCCACGTGCATACGTGGCGAGGAGGGAGACACCCACCCTCATGGTCTTGTCTGCATTTTCCTCTGAGCCCTGTAAAGTGACTCCTCAGTCAGTCCAGGAAACAGTGTCTTCATGTTCTTGTCTACGCTCGTCATTTCACCTGATGAGAAAAAGGACCCTTTAGACTTCTCCGGGGAGTTAGACAAGTTTGCAGACTTACGTTGAGAGCTGACATGGTAGCCACTATTATACGGCTTTGAATATTTAACTTTTTTCCCCCTGCTGAAAAGGGAGTGAACAAATCCATGTAATTTCAGCCCATTTTTGTTCGCAGTGTCTTGCTACCCATCAGTGCCTTGTGAGATTGCAGTTTTTTCCGCCTCTTTTTCTTTCCTGGAACCTGGAGCTTAGTTTAAAAAGCAGCGAAGCACGGAACAGGCACACTCGAAAGTCACCACTGTGACATGTCCAACCCTCAGTGTTTTGGGATTGGAGGAGGATCTGTCATCCGTGGGGCAGAAGACAGGCGGACGCCTGCAGCCTGGTCAGCTAGTGCTGAAGCGGTGCTGGTCCTGTGGGCTTCCAGCAACCGTGTTTGCAGGCTGCCTACCGCAGGCTCGTCCTCACGAAGGCCCCGGGTCCCCCGGGTGAGGCAGGCGCTCTGTGCTTCTCCTTTCTCGTGAGCCTTAAAATTTCTCTGCGTCTGTGCTTTCTCCACAGTCCTTAATTGTTGGGTCCTGCCGGTTAGCACATCTGCAGGCCTTGTCAGTGCACATTCTACAGTGATTCTTGTTTGCTCTCGTCTGTAAGCTTGAGTGTGCCAAGACCTAGTTTTTCTAATTTCATGGCAGTAAGAAGAAAAAGGCACACGGTTCTATCATATTAACAGATTATTAACAGAGCTTTCAAAAATTTTTCACTGTTTTAAACTTGCTAGTTGTAATCGTTTTACATAACTTGTAAATAAAAGAATTTCTGAAACACTTTTGCCTGCTGTAACTTATCCGCTCCCGTTTCCCAGGGCCGCCTTGGAGAGAATTTCTTGACCCAGCCTGTGGATGGGAAGAGGTGGGCAGAGTGTCCCCCAGCACTTTGGCTCGGGGCATCTGGGTGGGTGCTGGCCGGGTCTTGGTCGTTTATCCAGGAGGTCAGGATGAGGGGATTTGCCTTCACGTTGTAACCCATAGATCTGGCTTCTCCAACAAGTTCCTGGGTGGGTCGGAGGCCGGAGCCTTCGTGGAAGGGGGCATGGAGGTTCAAGGGATGCTCCTCCCTCTCTCCTCGCCTCACCCACGTGGCATGGAAATCTTGGGCCGCATCATTGACCTGGATGCCAAAGAGGAGGGTGTGGCCACGCGCAAACACGTCCTGAGCATGCTACCATGTACGTGGTTGGTCAGTGCTGCTGGGCCGGGCAGACTTGAGAGCTACAGTGACCTTGAGCAAGCAATTTACCCCGAGGCCCAGCCCCCTCTGCTGTGCTGGGCATCTGCGCCCCTTTCCGCTCTGGTGGTTGGATTACTCAGTTTAACTTCGTGGATCCAGTCTCTCTGATTGTATCAAAATGCAGGAGTGAATACTGACCCCAGCTCTCAGCAGGGACGGTGCTGTCATCTGGCACTGGTTGGCTGCACGACCGGGCAGGTGCAGCCGGTGTTGGTTGGTTCATGGTGACTTACCTGGGGACTGCAGTGGAAAAGTTGAGCGCAGCATTTAAGCAGTAAATGCACCTGGTGGTTAATCTGAGTAAGGCCTTGGGTGCGGTACGGACTGAGCATGGGAAAGGGGCTAAAACCCTTTAAGGATGTGTCTTTGGGAAAAAGCCCTGACAGCTGAGATGATTTCATTAGCTGTTAGCTGGTGGCGTTTGACCCCCCTCTGGGGGGGAAGCTCCAAGGCTGACCTTGGCCTGCTCTGTGAGGGCCCCTGGGGTGGAGGGGCAGCACCTCTTAGGCCTTTTCTGTGGCTGCCCCCTCTCCTGGGCTGGGCGGGAGAGGAGGACCCCACCCTGCAAAACTGTCTCCTCTGTCTTCTCTCCCAGTGTAGCTCTCAGGCAGGCTCACCTGTAGACCAAGTGAGGCAGCAGAGGAACCCTGGGTTGCCATGGTGTTAGATGAGCACGTAGATGTGAAGGCTGGACTGGTGCCTGGTGCTCGTCCCCGTGTGCCCAATGTGCAGCCGGCCTGTGCCCACTGGGGCCTGGGCCACCCAGCTGCTCGGGGCGTGCCTGAGCCATGTGGGCAGTCCCGGTGTCACGTAGACAGTTAAGGACCAGCTGGGCTCCCGGGGGACCTGCTGATGTCACTTGGGCGGGGTGGGTGGGGCAGAGCTGACTCGCAGACAGATCTGTCAGCAGCCAGGGTAGCAGGGAGCGCATCCTTGGCTGGCCACATGCCCTCCTGCCCTGCCGCTGGCCCCTCCCCAGCCTGGTGCAGCCCGGCCCTGAGGGAGATGGAGCCCAAGGACCAGCAGCTCATGGTGAGCGCCCTTCCTTGCCTCCCCTGATGGCCCCAGGGATGCGCATCCCTGAGGCTGCCTCCTCCCTGCTCCCTACCCGCTGCCTGCAGCACCAACTAGGTACAGTTGAGGTCTCTGCCCTCAGCTCCCCCAACCCAGGGGTCTCCAGCCTTCCCTCACGGAGACCTAGTGACCCCCTGCTTGCCTACCTCCTCACCCCAAGCCCCTAGATACCCCCTTCATTCCCTGCCGTCTGAATCTCATGCCCCAGGGAGCTAAGGGCCTGGACCAGGACCCCCAGGTGGGGTGGGCACCGCGTACTTTGGCCCAATCCAGGCCCTGTGAGGCCTGATCAATCCGTCTGCTGGCCGACTTGGAACTGCAGGCCATTTGACAGTCGGGTGCTGAAGCCAGGGACTTGCCCCCAAACTGTCAGCTGGTTACAGAGAGACCTCAGTCCTGACTGCCCCTGGGGAGAGCCATGGCTACTGTTTCTGCCAGGAGGAACTTGCGCATCCCACGGATGAGAGAACAGAGGCCCAAAGGGTTGCACTGGCTTGCTGGGGCCCACAGCTCATATGTGGTCGAGGTGGATTTGAGGCCTGGGGTTAGCGTGATCCCAGAGGGCCTCCTGTGGAACTCCCTAAGAATGGGGGCAGGGCAGAGAATGATGGCAAGCAAAGCCCATGGAATTCCTACTTGCGAAACCAACTTTCCCTCTGAAAGTGCTCACGTCCTGGGTGAAGGTTTGGGTCCCTTCTGGTGGTGGGTAAAACAGAAGTGACTGAGTGAGGGGTTAAGACCCCTTAGCAGCTGTGTGGCCTTGGGCAAGTTACTTCACCTCTCGGTGCCTCAGTCTCCCCATCTGAGACTCAATGAGGGTAACAGGAAGGACAGTGCTCCTCTCAACTGTCATTGTGAGGCGTGAACATGTGCTGCGTGTTAGGAGGTTAGCGCCTGGCGGGGCACTTGGGGTTCAGTGGCCTTGACTGCTTCACTAAGAGCGTGGAGCTCACGAGGTGCGGGGGGAGGGGAAGGAGGAGCAGGAGAGAGCATGGGCCGGGGGGTCTCTGGTGTACTGGGAGAATCAGCAGCTGCCGTGGTGTCCTGCCCACAGGTAGTGCTGCGGATCCGCCCACTCAGTGACACAGAACTGGAGGAAGGAGCCACCGTCATCGCCCACAAAGTGGGGAACCAGGTGAGGCTGTGGGGGTGTGGGGAGTGTGTCCACGGGGTCGCAGAGCTCACCCTTCCCGTGCATACTTCACCTGTGTCACTCACTCACTCACTCATTCAGTCATTCCTTCAACAAATGTTAATGTCGAGTGCTCACCATGGCTGGGGCTGTTGCAGACATGAGTAGAGCCAGGAGGCAGACAAGGACCTGCCCCACCCAGCTCACTTTCTAGTCGGGGGTTCGGGGCAGACAGATGTTGGGGGAGTTCAGTGCCACAGAGAAGAAGAAAGCATGGCAGAGGTGGTCCCGAAGGCCTCTCTGATGAGACATGTAAGCAGCACCTAGAAGAGGGGAGGCCAATGGTCTTTGGGAGAGAGGGATGCTCCAGGCCCTGTTGCAGGAACGGGCTGGGCTCGGGGCGGGCGAGCCATGGGAGCAGGAGACGGCAGGGAGGCCAGCGCAGTTTTAGCAGGTCCAGGTCCAGGTCTCGACCTGTAGTTTTGAGAAGGGCGGCAGGAGTGGGATGGCGCGCTGCCACCCTGCCGAGGATCCCTGCTCCTCGGAAACAGGCTCAGCTTAGACAGGTTGATGCCCGTCATAGTCGCCTGCCAGAATAAATGCCAAATTTGGGGGAAAACAAAATTTTGTCAAGTGAATTGGATTTTCGCATTTGTTGTTAGAAAGGCAGCTTTAGTGAGGAATTGAGTGTTGTTCCTAGGAGCATGTCTGCACTTCAAAGACAAAGGGCCCTGGTGTTGGGGACCCCTGGCTGACACTGCACACCGGGATTGGGGCACCCAGTGCTGACCCGGCAGGTGAGGAGCTGGGGGGGCAACGCAGTGGGAAGATGAAATGGACGGAATGTCTGGGGTGGGGGTCAGAGAGGCTGGGGTGAACCAGTGCTGAGTTCATATATAACTAAGCAATAAAACAGGATAGAGCTGTTGTAAAATCGAGGGAAACGAGTTTTGCAGGAAAGGGTCTGGCTTAGCCACGAAGAGTGCTATGTAGTTTTAGTAGGGAAACAGCATTGATCTAACTAAATTCTCGCTGTAAGTGCTCCGGGAGGCGGGGCACGGGAGCTAACCCCTCGGGATGCTGCAGAGAACTGACACGCGGATTCAGGACACGGCGTGTGCCCGTGTTATTACATAGAGACAGGGTATTGAGTGTGTAATGTTGGGGCAGCAGGGCTGCACCCGCTCACAAGTCTTCATGCTCAAACTGTGTGCCCCTCACTGATTAAAATAACAAAAGTTAGAGGAAGAAGGGAGGACACTTTAAATAACTTTTAAGACCCATAATTTGCTGGAATCGATGGTGGCTCTCAAAGTAGTCTCACCACTAGTCCCCAGACCTTGACTGACTGACCTCCTCCCAGGGGGCTGCCCCGCCGTCCCTGGGTCAGGACCTCCAGTCCCATCTGGTAACGGAGGCCTCAGGTGCACCCACGTGTGGGTCAGAATGCCCCTTTTGTCTTGCCTCCTGCTGTTTGCCGGCCACACCCCTGGGAGATGACCTACCACACCTGAAGACAGCGTCCCCTGCTGGCCCCAGTCCTGGCAGGTCCGTGGACACCCAAGGCTGTCTCCTCAAGTTGAGGATACCTTTCTCCTTAGAGGGAGAATGTCTCCCAATGCCCTGGCTTTGGGGATCGTGTGAATCTAGGCAATTAGGACACTTCTGGATTTCATGGGGGAGGGGCTTGGGCTGGGGGGATTGAAATTAGACGAGTGCATTGTGAGAAAGGAAAACTGTGTTAGCAAGTTGACCTCAGGTTTTCTGGTGCCACAGCCCCCTCAAAATCTCGAGGAATGTTGGGATTTGGTCACTAGGCTCCGCAGAAGAGTGTTTCAAAACGATATGGGGATGTGCATGTGGGTGACAGTGTGCGGTCACAGGTCCCCCTGGATCCCTCTCCACCTGCGCACCCCCCCCCCTTGTCCTGTCTGGTCTGCCCTTCTGGGCATGTGGGCAGGAATGTCTTGGGGCCATTTCAGAGCCCACCTCAGGCCTGGCTCCCAAAGGCTGCCTTGCTGTGTGCTGTACAAAAGACGCGGCCCACTTTTTAAAAATTGAGGTGAAATTCACATAATATAAAATTTGCTGTTTTAAAGTGAAGAATTCAGTGGCATTTAGCACATGCACAGTATTGTGCAACCACCACCTCTATCTAGTTCCAGAACATTTCCATCACCCCGAAAGGGGACCCCGCACCTATTAAGCAGTTGCTCACCATTTCCCCCTCAGCCCCTGGCAATACCCACCTGCTTCCTGTCTCTGTGGGTTTGCCTCTTCTGGATGATTCACGTGAGTGGGATCCTACAGTGTGTGGATTTTGCCTCTGGCTTCTTTCACCAGCATGACGTTTCTGAGGTTCGTCCATGTTGTGCATGGTCACTTTCTCTCTTAACTTTTGATTTTGAAGTAACTTCAGAAGACTAAGCAAAATGCTGCAAGAACCCTACAAAGAGCTCCCCTCTTCCCTGTACCTGGGTTCCCAGATGTGAACACTTTTACCACGTTTGCTTCGTCCTCCTCTCCCTCTGCATACACGCTTCTTTTTACTGGCCCGTTTCAGCGTGAGTTGTGGACATAATACCCCTCCACACCCGAATATTTCAGTGTGCATTTCCTCAGAACAGGAACGTTCTGTGACCCCAGTACAGTGAGAAAAATCAGGAAATTAACATTGATACAGTCTCACCTAATCTACAGACGTATTCACATTTTGCTGATTTCTCTCCGTAATATTATTTATAGCCAAAGGAAAAAAAATTTTTCTCTAGTCCAAGACCCAGTGCAGCTGGTATGTTTTGAACACGCAGTGCTCAGTGCTGTGCACATGATCTCATTTACCCCTCATAGCTGTGGGTTCTGGTATTACGTCCACCTTACAGATGAGAAAACCGAGGCCCAGAGAGGTGAGGGAACGTGTCCAAGGCCTCCCAGCTGGTGATGGGTGGAGCCAGGGTTGGAAACCAGGCTTCGGGCTCTGGAGCCTCAGGCCCCAGGACTGGGCTGAGAGCCCCCGATTCCTTCTCCAGCTCAGGGTTGGCCCACAGCGCCACACAGGGGAAACTGCGTAGAAGGGGCCGCCCCTGAGTCCTCCTTTCCTCAGATCCTCTCCATCACTGGAAGGAGAAGAAAAGCATAAAGGAAAAGAGAGTTAGCTTATGTCATGGAGAAGGTCCTGGCTAGAAGCTGGGCCAGGCCTCAGGGGGCTGCTCCCAGCCCTGCCTGACTCCCCAGGAACCTCTGGGCAGCCCTCACCTCTTGGGACCTTGGTTTCCAAAGCTGTGGACCAAGGGAGGGGTCGGGTGGGTGGCCAGGTCAGGGGGCTCTTGGTCAGCCCAGTCATGCCCCCTAGGACTCCATGGCTCCTCCCTGGAGCCTGGCCCTGCAGGCCTGGATGGGCAGCTGAACCCTCCAAGCCCCTCAGCAGACAGGAGCTCCTTGCACAGTAAACAGAGCTGACTGGTCTCTAGCAGCCTGACCCCCTCCCCTGGGAAAGGCTCTTTTGAACCTGCCTGTCCCCGGAGGTCCTGAAACACCGCGCTTCGTAATCACATATTTATGTGAGATGGAGGCCCCGGGAGGGGCGACCCGGGCGCTCAGAGAAACGAAGGCGGGGCTGGAAAGCTTGGGTGGGTCCTTTCCTTCTCCAGGTGCCCGTGGGCCCCTACTCCTCCGTTCTCCCCTTTCCTTTGGGTGATGCAGCCCCCCGAGCAGGAGGTAAAGAGGTGGGGCATGGACATACGTACTCAGGGTTGTGGGGAGAGTGCAGCAGCAAGGCTGCCCACTCAGCAGTTGACAGTTTACACTGCCCCTTCCTGTCCCTCGGTCCATTACGTCGTCAAAGGCCCGTTCCTGTAGTCACTGGCCAGCCAAGGGTGTTGTGGTGGGAGGGGCTGTTCACTAGGACCTCAGCCCCCAGGGCCCGACTGCTGGCAGGAGTGCTGGGTGCTGTGCTGGGGCGGCTGTGGATTCAACGTTGACTGGGCGCCAGTGCGTGAGTGCTGGGGGGTCTGGGGGGCTTACAGTCAGGGCTGTGGGGTGCAGTAGCCAGGAGATGCTGCCCCCTCAGATAGAAAGCAGAGAGGCTGCCTGGGGCTGAGTCCCCCCAGTCCCTCTCCTGGCTGAGCACAGAGGCCTGTGGCCCTCCTCGGACCCAGACCAGGCCCTTGGATGTCGTCGAGGGCAGGTGCCAGGCCTGGGGTCCTTCTGGGGGCGTGGAGCCTGTCCTGCTTCTGTGAGCAGCCCCTTCTCTGACCCCTCCCTCTCACTGTCCATAGATGGTGGTGCTTATGGACCCCGGCGAGGACCCTGAGGACACACTGCGCACACACCGGTCCCGGGAGAAGACCTTCATCTTTGACACTGTTTTCGACCAGCATGCGTCACAGGTGCCCGCCCCACCCCGCCTACGGCTCCCCTGGGCCAGGCTGGCCATGGGCGTCTCACCAAACCCTGAGCCCCCTTGGGACGACTTGGTGGCCAGGTAGTCTTGTCCATGATTTCTCACAAGGGTCTCCCTGATGAATGAGGAGATGGCGCTTTGGGTGATCCCAGGGGCAAGGAGCAGGAGTCCCTGTCCATGGGTGCAGTGGGCGACCAGGTGCCCTGGCTTTACAAATGTTCTCACTCATCCATCCATCTGTCCACCTGTCCGTCCGCCCACCCATCCCTCCATCCAACAAAGCACTGTCCTGTCCACCCTGTGGTGGGAACACACTTCCTGCCCACAGGGCTCCCATCCCAGCAAGGGAGACAGACAGTGAGCAGGTAGATACAAACAGATTGCTAATAAGTGCTGTCGTGGGGACCAGCGAGGCACGCGGTGGTGAGTGGAGCCTTTCTGAGGAGGCGCGTCTCAGCTGAGACCTGAGGGAGGAAGGAGCCGGCTGAGCAGAGGAGGGAAGAGGTCCAGGTGGATGCTTTGGCATACCTACTTTCTGAATGAAGAGCCTGTGGCTCCGCAAGGTCACACAGAGGCCAGAGTCAGGTCTTACTCCTCCTCCCCACCTTTTACTGAGGACAGAAGGCTGTCCGGTATGTCACCTGACCCTGGCCTGTGAGAGGGGCCTTGTCACCTCACGTTGCAGAGGGAATCCCGGGGCTGAGGGCAGACTACACCGAGTGAAGGACACTCACTCCTGAGCCCGGTGGAGCAGGATTTGAACCCAGGCCTGCTGAAGCGGGAGTGTCACACCACCAGGGCGATGAAGTCTGGGGGATACTGGGCCCCGAGACAAAGCCAGGGAGGGACGCAGGGCTCCATGCTGACTCAACCCTGTGCCCAAGTGACTTTCCCTTCCCACGAGGCGTGGGAGCCCAGGGAGTCCCCTTGCACTCTGTACCACGTGCAACTGCCAAGACGCTCTCCTTGTTCTTGACTGCAGCAGAACCAGTCTCCCCAAAGCTAGGTGACTTAGATCCACCACTTACTGCCTCTCTCATGGTTGTGTGGGCCAAGGAGGATCAGCTGGGCAGACCCTCACAGGGTTTTAGTCATATATGGGGGGCAGCAGTCATCCAAAGGCCTGACTGGGCTGATGTCCAAATGGACCCCTTGCTCGGCTCTCAGAGGACTTGCTGTTGGCCTGGAGCTGGCTGGGCTGTCACCTGGAGCCCCCACATGAGGCTTCCCTGTGTGGCTTGTGCTGCCTCACAGTGGGATGACCTCAAAGCTCTGAGAGGGTGAGCTGGAGGCTGCCAGAGCTCTGGCGGCTCAGCCCACAGCTGGCATGGCACCACTTCTGTCATGCTCTACTGGCCAAGCAGGTCACCAAGGCTGGCCCAGCCTCAAGGGAGGGAGTTGGACTCGAGTGGCGGGAATCTGCAGCCTCTTTAATCTACCGTGCCTTCTTTTCCTTCACGCCTGGCAGCTGAGTTAACACGGAGAGCATCTCAGGGAGGGCCTGCTCAGAACACACCGGCCACCCGTTGGCACTAGGAATGTCCCCCTCCATTCAGGGCTGTAATTATAAGGACGGATGGGCTTGGCACGGGCAGGCCCAGCTGCTGTCTGGGCACATACGCTTCTTTCACTCCTGAGATCTCAATGGTAGCGGAGGTGGAAGGGACCTGGGCATTAACACTTATGAGCAGGTACTGTATGCCACGTGCTGAGCTTAGCTGTCTGACAAGCATTGTCTGACAAGCCTCACAGCAACCCTAGAAAATATACAATAATATTGTCCCCATTTTACAGATGGGGAAACTGAGGCTTCAGGAGGTCAACAGCTTGCTCGAGGTCACACAGCTAGAGAGCTGCAGAACCAGGACTTGGGCCCAGACTGTGTAAGTCCAAAGCTGGGGGAAAGCAGGACCAGCTTTGGAGTCTGTCCAGCCCAGGCTCCGATGCTGCCTCTCCCTTCTCTGAGCTGTGCAACCAGCCGGGGCTGTTGGCACAGTGAAATGAGATGAGGAGCAGGGCACAGAGTGGGGACCCAGGAAGGGCAGAGGAAGTGGGGACTGTCCTTTCTATCCTGTCCAGCCAAACCTACACACCCTCCAACACCAGCTCTGGAGGTGTCGTTTCTTGAATACTCCTGTGGACAGGGAGCTCACTACCCACACACTCTTATTGCTATGTACTACTGCCTTAAATGAAATTATGCCAGCCCGAAACTTTCACTCCCTGGTCTTAGTTTTATCTTGTAAAGGGGAGTCATAATGCTCTTCACAGATTTCCAAACCCTGTCGCTGCCTTCCAGTGCTTTGCAGTCTTTTTGATTTCTCTCAGTTCTCGCAGCAGCCCTTGAAAGGACTCACGAGCGTTTAGTACCAAACACGTGTCAGGGCTCGTGGCGGGAGCTGCGCACACCTTCTCATGTAATCCTCCCTCGCACCGCCCTGTGTGGTCGGCCTCGTCTGGCCCGTGAGGCCGGGCACAGCTGAGGCGGCGTGCCTGAAGCGCACGGACGCTGACACTGCCTCCTGCTTGTCGGTCCCTGTCCATGTTCAAGGGGAACAGGACATTCGCAGGCACCGCACAGTTGTCCTCTCCAAACAGCCAGGGGCCCCGACTCTGGCCGAGCTGTCCGTTTCACCGTCTGTCCTTCTGTCTGTCCGCAGGAAGACGTGTACTGTGCCACCACCCGGCACTTAGTGGAAGGCGTCATTTCTGGGTACAACGCGACGGTGTTCGCCTATGGCCCCTCAGGTACCGCCAAGGGCAGGTCCCGAGGAGGGAGTGGGGTGGGGGCCCGGAGCACCTACTGTGTGCCGGCGCTGCACTGTTCTCTCTGCACCCTTGGCTCCTTTCATCCATGCAGCAGCTCTGAATGGCAGCTAGAATGATCTCCTTTTTACATGTGAGAAAACTGAGCCTCACGGAGGTAGAGTGACTTCCTCAAGGCCACACAGCTGGTAGGAGTGAATCAGGAATTCAGTCCAAGCCTACACTTTGCTGCCCATGAGAACTCAGATTTCTTCTCTGTAATGACTAGTTGGGCTCGACGCACGCTCGCAAAGCTAAGCTCCCTCTCTCTCCCTGAGAACCGGAACCACAGAGGGTCAGAGCTGCGTGGGCCCTACCCCCTCACTGTGCAGAGGGGGAAACTGAGGCCCTGAGAAGCGCCTTGTCCAAAGTCATAGCTTGTTTATTGCTTTCTTTCTTTCATTCATTCATTCAACAAGTGTTAGCGAGTACCTCCCATGTGCCAGGCTCTAGGGAAGGAAGAGCAGTCTGGTCCTTGCCTGTAGGGCGGACAGATGGGGGGAAGGTAAGGCCTCCCATGAAGAGGCGCGCCTTAAAAAGCATAAGACACCAATCCTCTTCTTATAAAAGCAACACAGACGTCTTAGAGGGAGCTGGGGAGAAGAGCAGCTGTCTCGCACATCTCTGTCCTCTGACACGGGCTGCATCCTGCCTTATGTCTGCCCCCTCTCCCTGCACCCGGGTTTCTCCACAGAGTAGCCATCAGGCTGTGCAGACAGCTTTTTTTCCTTGTTTCCAAAATGGAAAACAAGCGTGTCAGAGCAGCCAGGACGGTTTCACGACAAAGGAGGCCGGTGCGGATGGTCTCTTGGTGGCACAGCGTCCACGTGGGGTCAAGCCCGCCTCAGGAGTCCCCACCTTGCGGGGGGTCCTGCTCCTCCTGCAGGTGCAGGGAAGACCTACACCATGCTGGGCACGGACACAGAGCCTGGCATCTACCTCCAGACCCTCACCGACCTCTTCCGGGCCATCGAGGAGACCCGGGACAACATGGACTACAGCGTGTCCATGTCTTACCTCGAGGTGAGTCTGCTGCCCGCCTCAGTTGCCTTGTCTGCAAAGCGGGCATGTTCCTGTGTGTGTAAAGCCTTCTGCGTGTTACCCCCAAATGCCTGGTGGGGCTCCAAGCCCCAGGACATGTAAGTCCCTGCACTTCTTTTGCACAAAGCTGCTTCATTTCCAGTTGTTCTGTCTCATCCCAGATTTATAACGAAGTGATCCGGGATCTCCTGAACCCCTCCTCGGGATTTCTGGACCTGAGGGAAGATTCTAGGGGCAGCATCCAGATAGCAGGCATCACAGAGGTCTCCACCTCCCATGCTGAGGAGGTGAGTGTCACGGGGCCCACGGAGGGAGATGTGGCTCAGCAACAGTGGCCACGCTTGCCAGAGCTCACGAGGTCCTCCTCGTTCACGTTCATGAAACAGACCAGCCACAGAGCTCCACAGTTGTTTCTGAGCTAAGGGAAGGAATGGCAGACATCTGCGCCCACATCCCCGCTCTCCCAGCCTGTGCTCAGGGCAGACGTCAGTAATAGGTCACATGCTTTTCCCTCTGTGTCCAGAGGCAGCTCAGAATCCTTTCCTACACGGCACCCCAGGCAGTCACGACCAATCAGAGTTGGCCTCAAGCCTGAAATCCACTTGCCATCCCCGATCCTAAGTTTGTTCCTGTAGGGAGGGCCAGTTGTACACATTTCTACAGCTCTCTGTCTCTTCTGTGTACCTCCCCTCTCTCTGTGCCAGCCCATACTCGACACCGCCCTCAGGTGGGCTCCCGGGCAGTGAAGGGGAACCTTCTGGCCTATTCTTGAACAACGACTGTATCAGTCTTCCTCCACACGTGCTCTGTAATCCTAGCAGGGCCTGGCACACAGTAAGTGCTCAGCAGAGGCTCGTTGGCCTGATTTCCACAGCTGCTTACACAGCAAATGAGTTTCAGCCCAATTGCCAGCTCCAGTGAATCCATGCAGCTGCCTGCAGTTCTGTATGGAAAAGGGTTCTGGGGCTGCACTTGGTTCCGTGTGAAGAGGTGGGTAATCCGTTGGTGATGTCTGCCATGGGTAGAGGACGGGCAGAGGCAGTACAAGTGTCAGCAACCTGCCACTCCTGCTGGATTAGTTGACTTGATTAATTAATCACTTCCTGCCGCAAACCGGAAATTGCTTCCACTGGATGAGGTTCTGCCATCGGTGTCCCAGCCATGGGGGCTGGTGAAGAGTTGCCCAGAGGAGCTCGGGGGCCACCCCTCCTTGTCTTGCCTGGGTGGCTCTGGAGGGAGTGCGTGGCCACTCAGGGGCCCTTCACCGCTGGCCCTCCTCTGCCTCTGTCCTCAGATCATGCAGCTCCTCACCAAAGGCAACCGGCAGCGCACCCAGGAGCTGACGGCCACCAACAAGACGTCGTCGCGCTCCCACGCCGTGCTGCAGGTCACCGTGCGCCAGCGGAGCCACGGCGCAGACTTGGAGGAAGTGCACGTCGGGAGGCTCTTCATGGTGGACCTGGCAAGCTCGGAGCGGGCGTCCCAGGTTCCTGGCCCCCGACAGACCTCCCTGCCCCTTCACCCCCCATCACAGCCTCTCCCCTGTGTCCATCTGCACTTTAGTCTGTGGGAAGGAGGCTGGCCAGCCTTGTCCAACAGTGTCTCCCACACCTCCCACCCAGGAGGGGCGCCGCTGGACGTTTGTTGAGTGAATGGATTCTCAGCAAGTGCTGGGTGACCAAGCCCACTGAGCCAGTATTTGTGGGGGGGCTCTCTGCGTGCAGAGCTCTCCTGGGCACCAGAGGCATGAAGACGAATGACACCCAGACCCGCCTGCAGGGAGCTCAGAGCCTCAGGGGGCGGGGGGAGACAGATGTGGGAACAGATAATTACCGCACCGGGAGATTCGGGGTCTGCACAGAGGCAGTGGGAGCCCAGAGGAGGGTGGGGTCTCAGGGCAGAGCCTGAAAGGGTCATTATGAGTTTGGTGGGGTGCAAGGAAGAGCATGTCAGGTGGAGGGAATAGTGTGTGCAAACTGTGGCTGTTGGGAGGACGATGCACAGTTTACTAGAGCTCGGCAGTCCCTCTGAGGGTCCCGCCCGCCTGCGACCAAGCCCTTGGCTCACCTTCCTTTGCAGCACCTGTTGCCGGGAGTGAGGGCCATGCTCACTTTCTGCAGTGGCCTGAGCATCCCTTGAGGGCAGTACACAGCCCAGGGCAGAGATGGAGAAGGAGCTGTTCCTCCAGGCACGGGAGGCGGTATCAGAACAACAATAATATGATCAACAAACGACATTTTCACATCCTTCTACTGCACCAGGCACTTAGCATTCATAACCCCCAACCTCCCGGCGCAGTGTCAGGTGGGCAGCATCAAGCTGGTTTCACATGCGCAGAGCTGAGACCTGGGCGATGGTGTGACCTGGCTGTGCACGAGGGTATCAGGTGGGGGGTCTCGCTGGGGACCGGGAGGAGTCTGACCCAAACCCCTGCCTTTCGCTGCCGTGGTGTTTGTCCTCTGGTCGCGCCATGTGCTCTGTGTCTTTGGGGTTGATCATTGGGTTGCTTCACTCATTCATTTGTTCACCTGCCCTGCACCTGGCCCTGCCCTTGGTGCATCGGCTGCTGGAATGAGCAGGGCCTGGCCGGCAGGCCTAGACTCAGACTGGTTTAAAATATAGTGTTTTAATAGAAAATTGGAGGTACGGTAAGGCCAGCAGATCAGGAGATAACTGCCATTGAAAAGATAGTTTCTTTCTCACTGATCCCAAGAGGAGGGGGCATGCAGTGCCATGCAGGGCCACACAGGGAGCACCAGGGTCCGTCAGGTGGCAGAGGGAGGGGGGAGTTGTGGACAGGAGCCTTTATTGTGGTTTCTGTGGGAAGGCAGGCTTAGGGTTGGCTGGTTTGGATAATTCCACCAGGCTCTGGGGCAGACGGGCTGTCCCTAGTTGTCTGGAACCTGGCCCTGTGATGAGGGCCTGAGTGTGAGAGCCCTGTGGAGGAGGGGTTGGGGCGTGGGCTCTGCGTTGGCTGGTTTACATTTGAAAGATGTGCTCGTGGGTGAGTTGTTTGCTACCTCTTAACTTAGCTAACTCTGGGAGGGGCAACAAAGCCCCAGATGTCAGAGCATCAGAACACAGAAAATGAAAGACACGGTTGACAGACAGATGTGGGTGCAGACAGTTTCATATCGATGAAGCCGAGTGTGATGGAGGACCGAGACTCTTGCCTGTCCCAGCTGGGCTTGGCTGTGTCCTCAGGGGGCAGGGTGGGAACCAGCCTCCCCAGGACTTGGCTCTGGGAGAGGCCACCGGACAGGGGGTCCAGGCCCTGGGTCCTTGCTCTCGCTCCTCCAACTTGCTGTGTGCATTTGGGCAGGCCACTGCCCTCTCTGGGCCTTGGTGGCCTAGTGGGCTGTCTTTAGGATCTGCTTGGCTCTCACGGGCCATCATTTCCTCATAAACAATCACTCACAAAAGTGTTTGTTCCCAGCATGAGGGAATAAGGCACAAGGGCACGAGGTCTCTGAGAAAGCCCCTAACTCTGTGCCACAGACACGTGACATGCGAGTAGCTGCCCTGGCTCCAGCCACGCCGGCCGGCAGCTTCACTCCTGCCCTGAGGGGACTCCCACCTAATGAAGGAACGTTTAGTGCTGGCTTCTGTGGGCCCCGTCCTGAGGGGGCCTGTCCACACGTGACCCGTCCAGTCCTCACCGTAACCCTGGGAAGTCGGGGCGTTTGCCCGAGATGAGTCGTTTAGGCCATTCTCAACCCACCCTCCAAATTGGCTCTAAAACCTGTGCCCTTAAAGAGAACGTGTTATTTTCCGCTCTGATTTCAAGTATAATAAATGCAGTGCAGAGAAGAGGGGCAAGCACAAGGGAGAGAGCACCAGTCCCTGCACCGGAGTCTCCCCGGCGGCCGTCTGGGTCCCCCGGCTCCTCCATGCGTCTCCGTTCATTCTTCCAGCACACGGCCATCGAGCCCCCACTGTGGCCAGGCACCTGTGGTGTGCTGGGCTCTGGGGACACTGGCCAACCAGAGTGACAGCCCCCTCACGTTCTGGTGGGGGAGCAGGTAGGAAATATCGAACCCATAAAAGAGCAAGGTAATTGGCAGGAGAGTTCAGTGATTTGAAGGAAATATACAGGATGGTGTGGCTAAAGGCAACAGGTAGGCTGCTGCAGTGTCCCCGGGGGAGTGTGGTTGAGGGTGCTCCCACAGGAGGGGACGCTAAGCTGAGACTGGCAGAATGAGAGAGTTTCGGTGTGGGGGTCTCCCTAGATAAAACATACACATTCATATTTTTATTATAAAAATGGGATTGTTCTGCAGACTTCCCTCTAACCCATTTTTCTCTCATTTAATAATGAGTGTCTTTCAACATTAGTAAATAGCTCTACATCATCCCTTTTCATGGCTGCGTAGGACTCCAACATAGAATCCTGTGTCATTTGTGTCACTGGTCCCAGGATTTCAGGAGTATAATCAGTGCATGTGGAGCCTGAGCATCTGCAGGGTGGGGTGGGGTTACTGTGCCCCTCCAGACCTCAGGCTCCTCCCTTGGGGACCAGGATGGGAGAGATGGCGTGTAGAAAAAGACCATCTCGCCACCAGCCTGGCCTCTCCCTGCTCAGACTCAGAACCGAGGCAAAAGGATGAAGGAGGGTGCGCACATCAACCGTTCCCTGCTGGCACTGGGCAACTGCATCAACGCACTCAGCGAGAAGGGTGGCAGTCGGGCGCAGTACGTGAACTTCCGGGACAGCAAACTCACGCGCCTGCTGAAGGTATGAGCTGCAGGCTGGGGGCAGGGGGCTGCAGCAGCTGATGGCATCCTCCAGGACTTACCTGCCGGGGGAGAGGCCCAGACCTGGGTCGAAGGGCCCTTCCAGGAACCCCTGAAGGCAGGAAAACACCATAGTAACCATCTCTAGTGACTGCCCGACCCTGCCTGCCGTCCCTCTGAGTGTGGTCCAGCCTGTGCTTGCATACTCCCAGGGGCAGGGAGCTCACTACGTTATCGAGGCTGCCTGTCCCATCACGGACAGTCTGACTGTGAGAAAATTCCTCTTTATACCGAGCTAAATGCTGTTACCTCTACTCTACAGCAAGGCGGGGTATAAATAAACAAATAGGCAAAGCAATAAATAAATGTCCCTGTAAATTCAGCCTCTTGGTCTAATCTGCTCTCATCAGAGTGGAAATCAGATGGGATGGGCCTGGGATGGGGGGGTGCCACCGGGCAGGTGGGGGCCCTGGTTCCCATCACCCCCAGCTCGTGCCTTCCCCCGAGCAGGATGCCCTGGGAGGGAACAGCCGGACAGTGATGATCGCCCACATCAGCCCAGCCAGCACATATTTCGAGGAGTCGCGGAGCACGCTGCTCTACGCCTACAGAGCAAAGAACATCAAGACCAGGGTGAGCCGCCCGCTCCTTTCCTCCCTCCCTCTCTCCCTCACTTGTTCCCTCACCTGCTCACTGAATTCTCAGACAGCGCTATATCAGGAGGCTCTAGAGGAGGGCCCTTCCTTGTCCCTGCCAGCTTCTGGTGGCTCCTGGCGTTCCTTGGCTTGTGGCCGCCTTGCTCCATCTCTGCCGCTGTCTTTACAGGGCCTTCTCTTCTCTTCTCTTCTAAGGACCTTGAATTTAGGGCCTCCCTAATCCAGGACCACTGCATCTCGAGATCCTTCATTACATCTGCAAAGACCCTTTTTCCAAATAAGGCCACACTTGGGCTGGCCTGCTGTTGTAGTGGTTAAGTTCGTGCACGCCGCTTTGGTGGCCCGGGGTTCGCACTTTTGGGTCCCGGGTGTGGACCTACAAACTGCTCATAAGCCATGCTGTGGCAGCGTCCCATATACAAAATAGAGGAAGAGGGGCACAGATGTTAGCTCATGGCCAATCTTCCTCACCAAAAAACGAAAAAAAAATCAGGAAAAAACCCAAAAACCAAATAAGGCCACATTCACAGGGTTGAGGGGGTTTAGGAGGTGGGCTCATCTCTGTGCCTGGCAGCACTATAAGCTCTCCATGTGATTTAATTAATTCTCAACAACCCTCTCCCTAGGAGGTAGGTCCTATTACCACCCCATTTTACAGACTGGACAGCTGCAGAGAGGTAAAGCAACTTCTCTAACCTGCCACAGCTAGTGCAGAGCTTGCTCCAGAATCCATGCCTTAAGCCGCTGTGCTAGTCTGTCTACACTGCTGTGCTGGTCTGTCTACACTGCTGAAATCAGTTTAGAGGATTCCTCTCTTCAGGCTGTATGAGAATTCAGTGAGATAATGCAGGTTGGCCACTTAGTGCATGAATGACTTGTAGTCAACACGTGATAGGTGTTATTTTATATTATCATTTGTCCACAAACACGTGACGAGCCCTCCCAATGCCCAGCCCTGAGCTAGGCACCATGATAAAAAAAACCCCATAGGAGGGAGCTTCTGCTCCCATGAACTCTGGACTCAGCAGTGGGAGCAGGGAGATATTAGACCTGAACTCACACAGATAAATACATGGTCTCCAACTGTGGCACGTGCGCTAAATGAGAGCCGCAGGTGCTACAAGAAAGAAGGTGAGAGGAATAACAGAGAGGCCCCAGTTAAGAGGGCTCGTCCGCAAAGGGAGCGTGAGTCGGGCAGGGTCCTTCTGAGAAGCTGACGCTGGAGCTGAGGCCTGACTGAGAGAGTGCGTGTGATGTGTGACTTAGAACAATTGAGCGTGTGCCCTGCAAACAAGAATTGTACCCTCCATGTCTAGCAAAGAGAAACACAGGCCCGTGTGCTCAAGGAGCCTGCATCACTGGAAAGCCCCACAGTTCCCATCGAAGGGGACGGGACAAGTAAACTGGCACGTCCCTCCCACGGGCCTCTCTGCAGCTGTTGGAGAGAGCGGGGTGGACCCGTCTATGCAGATGGACGGCCTCCAGACACATGGTTGGATGAGAAAAGCAAATTAAAGAATAATAGCCGTAGTCTGATAAAATTTACATAAAACCCCGAAGCCGTACCTACACCAAAAGAAATCCCCGAATGTATCTCCCTAGATACACACATGTACAAAACTGCACAGAGAAAGATCTGGAAGGGCACGTTGCAAAATGATAGCAGTGGTGACCCAAGGGGAGGATTTTTTAAAAAAACTCTTGATGGATTGTTTGAATTTTTTATTGTGGCCAAATATACATAACATAAAATTTATCGTTTTAACCAGTTTTAAGTGTACAGTTCAGGGGCATTAAGGACATTCATGTTGTTGTGCAGCCATCACCACCACCCATCTCCAGAACTTGTCATCTTCCCAAACGGAAACTCTGTCCCCACTAAACACTAACTCCTATCCCCCTCCCCAGCCCCTAGCACCCACCATCTACTTTCTGTGTGTGACTCTGACTCCTCCAGGACCCTCTTGTAAGTGGGATCATAGAGTATTTGTCCATTTTGTGTCTGGCTTGTTTCACTCAGCATAACGTCCTCCAGGTTCGCCCGTGTTGTAGCGGGTGTCCGAGTTTCCTTCCTTTTTAAGGCTGAATAGTACTGACTTGAATTTTCATAACAAAAACGTGTTTGCATGTTTCTGGTGTAAATATATCGCTGCTAAAACGTTTCCTTCATGGGGCTGTCGGCCTGCCCCGACCTTGGCCGGGTGTCCTGCCGCACCAGGTCAAGCGCAACCTGCTGGATGTGTCCTACCGCATCGCGCAGTACACGGACGTCATCTCCAACCTGCGCAGGGAGATTGGACGCCTCAAAGCCAAGCTCGAGAGGCAGGAGAAGGAGAAGCGGAGCGGCCCTGGCGTCAGGGACGTACAAGGTAGAGCCGAGAGCAGCCCTGGGGCCGCGGACGACTTTGCCCCCCGCCCGGCAGGCCAGAGTCCCTGCCCCGGGCCCATCACCTCCTCCCGTCCTGGTGCTTGGTGCTGGGTCCACTCTGAATGTCTACACCCAGGCATCCGGTTACCCTGCCGTGGGCTTCAGTCCCAACTCCACCAAGCCTTACTGTCTCGGCAAGACCCCGGCTTTAATTTCCTGCCTGTAAAATATGAGGACTGGGCTGTTTTCTCTTTCTTCTAATTTCTTCCCTTTTTACGTTTCTTCTCACTCTCCTACTTTTTTGTTTTTTCTTCTCTAATTAGTTTTTTTTATATTTATTTATTTATTTATTTTCTCCCCCAAAGCCCCAGTAGATAGTTGCATGTCATAGTTGCACATCCTTCTAGTTGCTGTATGTGGGACGCAGCCTCAGCATGGCCGGAGAAGCAGTGCGCCGGTGTGTGCCCGGGCTCCGAACCCCGGGCTGCCAGTAGCGGAGCACACACACTTAACTGCTAAGCCACGGGGCCAGCCCAAATTAGTTTTTTTTAAAATAACTTTTTTATTTTGGAGTAATTTTAGATTGACGAAAAACGTTGCAAAGATAGGACAGAGAGAGCCTAACTTCCCCTAATGTTAGCATCCAGTGCCTTTAAAAAAATTACTGAGGGGGAACTCGTGTAACATAAAACTCATCACTTTAAAGTGAACACTTCATCCAGTGGTATCTGGTGCATTTGGTGCATCCATGATGTTGTGTAACCACCACCTCTGTCTAGTTCCAGAACATTCCATCACCCCAGAGTGAAACCCATACCCATTAGGTAGTTTCTCTCCATTCCTCCCTTCTCCCCAGATCAGTTTTGTTTAGGCGTCCTTTTGGGGTTAGAGGCCACCATAGTTTTACCATAAAATCATAAAATTAATCAGTAAGTTAAAAAGGTACCTGTAAAAATACCTATAACGAAGTCAAGTTCAGTAGACATGAGTCAGGAATACACACACGTACATGTTCTTTTGGTTTATTAAGATAAGTTTTACCATATTTAAAAAGGACTTTTGAAAATCATAAGAGCCAACAGCCCAATTTTAAAAAATGGGTGCAAAAATGAATAGGTAATTCACAGAAGAATTCCTGGTGGCCAATAAACCTGTGAAAAGATTCTCAGTTGCATTAGGAAATGGAGATACAAATTTAAACAATTTTCATTTATTGGATGGCTAAAATTAAAATGTCAGGTAGTATTAAGTGGATAATATAAAAAAATATAAAATTAAGCGTGGAAATGGCAGCCTTAAACACTAGTATTGGGAGTGTAAGTTTTTTTTTTTTTTTAATAAATTTTTATTTATTTTCCCCCAAAGCACCAGTAGATAGTTGTATGTCGTAGTTGCACAGCCTTCTAGTTGCTGTATGTGGGACGCGGCCTCAGCATGGCCGGAGAAGCGGTGCGTCAGTGCGTGCCCGGGATCCGAACCCGGGCCGCCAGCAGCGGAGCGCGTGCACTTAACCGCTAAGCCATGGGGCCGGCCCGGGAGTGTAAGTTAATGTGTCTCTTTGGAGGCTGGTTTAGCAGAATCTGTTAAAACTTGAAGTATGTATTCTGTGCCCCAGTAATTTCACTCCTGCAAATCTACCACAAGGCGCATGCCCTCGTGCGCCCGAGGAGCTGTGTGACCAGAAAGTGCCCGTCGAAGGGGGCAGGACAGTTAAACTGGCGCATCCCTCCTGTGGACCGCTTGCTCTGCAGCTGTTAGAGAGAATGGGGTGGACCCGTCTGTGCAGACGGATGGCCTCCAGACACATGGGTGGACGAGAAAAGCAAATTAAAGAATAACAGCCATAGGCCCATAGAATTTACCACCAAAACCCCCATACATCTGCTTAGAAAACTGCGCAGAAAAAGACCCAGAAGGGCACACGTTAACATGACAGCAATGGCTTCCTGCGGGTGGGGAACTGGGATCGGCCGATGGGCGAGCAGACGATGGAGAGGGTCTTGATGTCTTGACGTAGTATTCCAATTTTTGTAATAAAAAGATGTTCCCGTATTACTTGTGTAAATACCTCATCTTTATTGTAATAGCGAGCTGTGTTTATTGTTCAAAACTTGCAGAATCCTACAAAGTATAAGAAGAAAACGGAACTCGCTTACTTAGAGTCCCACAACTTGGAGTAACCACTGTTAGCATCTAGCTATTTCTGTCCACTCTTTTAAGTAAGTACCCACCCACCACCCATCACACACACGCCCCCCCAAAACTGGGAGTCAGGACCATCTATTTCACATGCTTATTGAGAGCCTACCATGTACCAGGCGCAGTTCTCAGTGATAGGGGTGCGTGAGAAGGGAGGTCTAGAGGGCCCTGCTCTCAAGAAGTACGCATTCTCATGGGAGAGAGAGACAATGAATGAGGAGGGTAGAAATCTGAGGAAAATAAAGCCAGGCAGGGGACAGAGGTGCAGGAGGAGGGGAAGGGGTGCTATACCAGCTGAGTGATGTGGAAGGTCCTCTCTGAGGAGGCAACATTTCACTGTGGGCAGGAACGAGCCTTGCAAAGATCCGAGTTCAGAGTCCTCTGGCAGAGGGAACTGCACGTGCAAAGGCCCTGGGGTGGGAACGGATTTGGTGAGTTCAAGGAGCAGAAAGAGGCCCATGTGGCTGGTGCACGAAGAGAGGGGGTGCAGTGGGAGATGAGACTGGAGGACAGGCAGGGCTGGAGGGTGGACAGGGATTTATCCTGAGCGTAACGGGAGGCCAAGGAGGGTCTGAATAGGAGGGCGATGTGCTGAGCTGCCTTGAGACGTGTAGTCATGAAGTGGAAGAGAGACCACTCAGCAGAGCTGTGATTTCCCTCAGCCTGCGGATGGGGCAGGTGGAGGATTCTCCGTGGTTGGAGCCTTGCCTGGCGAGCGTTACAGGAGTACAGGAGTTGAGGGAGGAGGCCAGGGTGACTACAGGGTCAACTGTGAATGCCAAGTAGAGGAGGGAATTAGAAAATGCTGACACTTTTTGTTATGGGGCACTTCCAATACTTTGGAAGGAGAAAGAATAGCACAGCAAGCCCTCACAGGTAACACCACTCAGTTTTGCTCCCTCTGTCCTCTCACGCTTTTCCCCCATCATGTTATCTAGACACAAATTCCAGATATCCAAATTCCAATAAGACATTGTCTTATTCCTAGACATGTCAGGATAATCTCTAAAAAATAAAGACTCTTTACAAAAACATAAATACAATATCATTTCCATACCTAAAAAAATATGAACAATGGGGCCGGCTCGGTGGCGTAGCGGTTAAGTTCGCACGCTGCACTTCAGCAGCCCAGGGTTCACAGGTTTGGATCCCGGTTGCAGACCTGACCACCACTTCTCAGGCCATGCTGTGGTGGTGGCCCATATAAAGTGGAGGAAGATGGGCATGGATGTTAGCTCAGGGCCAATCTTCCTCAGCAAAAAGAGGAGGATTGGCATCGGATGTTAGCTCAGGGCTGGTCTTCCTCACACACACACAAAAATGAACAATAATTCATTCATATCATCAGATAGCCAATTGGTGTTCAAATTTCCAACAATCTCGTCAACATCATAAATCTCTCTTGTTTTTGAACCAGGATCCCAGCAAAGTCCACACATTGAATTGGGTTGATAAATCTTTTCAGTCTCTCTTATTCCCTGGGCTTCCCCTCCCTCTTTTTTTTTCTGGTTTTCCTTTTGATTCTTTTTGAAGACACTGGGTCCTCTGTCCTGTGGAGTTTCTTACTGTCTGGTTTTGCCAACCACACATTCCTCTGCCCTCTCTATTCCTATAAATTGGTAGTTGTGTCTAAAGGCTTAGGAGGGGGTTTAAAAACTTTTTTAAAAAACAAACTTGAGAGCGTGTCATATTTGGCGGGGGAGAGCTCAAACGCGGTCGTGGAATCGAGGGACTAGAGGGGCCCTGGGCCAAGGGAGTGACGAGCCTGGAGGCTGCGGCCGGGCCAACGACCGGCCTCTGGAAGCCCGTGGAGGGGGAGGCGAGGGTCAGTGGAGGTTGGGATCTCCAAGGACAGAAGATCAAGGGACAAAGGTTCTTGGTGGTGGCTGGATTGTCTGTGAGGATTTTAGAGTCACCCAGAACGATGACGAGAGCAGGGATAGGAGAAACTGAGAGAGCCCGTGTGAAAATTGTCCAGGGGTGCGGGACAGTGGCCACTGTTTTGAGGAGGAGCTGGTGATAGAGTCTCTAACTGGCTCCTCAGAGGAGTTGGGAGACAAGCGTTGAGAGAGACGACATGTCCAGAAGGAGCCCCGAGGAGCCAGGAGGACAGCCACCCCAGCTCAGGCCCGATAATCGGGTGGTGGGAGACAAAACAGCCACCTGGGGAGGGCTGCCCTGAGACGACCACAGCCTTCATTTCTTCCCGCTTGATTGCGATCTAGTTGACACATCACACTGCATGAGTTTAAGGTGTACAAAAGGATGATTTGATACATGTATATATTTGAAATGATTACCACATAAGGTTAGCTAACACATCCTCCTCCTCACATAAGCACCATTTTGTTTTGGTGGCGAGAGCATTTAAGATTTCTTCTCTTAGCAACTTTCAGGTATACAATACAGTATTGTTAACTACAGTCACTACTAGATTCCCAGAACTGACTCATCTTCTAACTGGAAGTTTGTACCCTTTGACGGACACCTCCACATTTCCCCCCATCCCCAGCCCCTGGCAACCACCATTCTACTCTCTGTTTCTACGGGTTCTGCTTTTTAGATTCCGCGTGTAAGTGAGATCATACAGTATTTGTTTCTCTCTGTCCAACTTACTTCACTTAGCAAAATGCCCACAGGGTCCGTCCACATTGTTGCAAATGGCAGGATTTCCTTCTTTATTGTGGCTGAATAGTTTTCCATTGTATATATATATACCACATCTTCTTTGTCCATTTATCCATCAATGGGCACTTGGGTTGCTTCCGTGTCTTGGCTTTGTGAATAATGCTGCAGTGAACA